CAGCATCTTTCTTGAACGTGGCCCCCAACGGAGATATTAACCGACAATGGCACCGCATTCACCAGCGAGCAGTTCGAGAAGTTTGCGGATGGCTGGGGAGTGCACTTACGGTTCCGGTGCGCCCACGTACCGAGTGGAAATGGAATCATCGAGCGGAACCACAGGACCGTCAAGACCATCGCAGCCAGGACGGGCTGCACGGTGTCTGAGGCGGTCTACTTATACAACGTGACCCCGAAGGATGATGTCTCACCCTCTACGGCGCCAGCAGACACATTGCATAGGTACCACGTTAGAGTGAAGGGCATAGAAACCAACCCACTGACGGAACTGAAAGTAACCGGAGAGAGGCTGAAGAAAGGCGATGTCGTCTGGATTAAAATCCGCACAGCAAGTGCACCACGAAATACGGAATCGGACGCGTCACTGAGGTGATCAGCCCACAGGCGGTACGGGTCGACGGTGTGCCCCGTCACGTTAAGGACCTGCGTCCGTCGACGCAGTTGCAACCACCGCTGGACGATGAGAGCGAATCGGAATCTGAGACCAGTGAGGCATCGCTCTGGTTCACGCCAGCCCCATCAGGCAGTGACTCGGATATCAGTAGCCTTCCAAGGGACGCGGTGTCTTTCGACCCTCAGACCTCAGACAGGAGCACAAGCAACGATGAGGCTCGCAGCGTCCCTCTTCGAAGAAGTACCCGGCGCAAGCGATCACCACCTCCCTGTCAACTCTGTGATCATGAGATCAGGGGAGTGGGGAAAATAGAAACGGCCCACCTCGCAAACGTTCTCGCATCTTCCTGGCCTGTGGGTTGAGAAAGGAAAAAAGATTCAAAATGGCGTCCGTGACTTTTAATATTCACGGTCTCGTGCAGTCACGCAAAGTCGCGTTACACACATGCTAATGAGGTGTGTCTGGGCTCCATAAAAGCAGGTTGCTTGGAGACATTGGCAGACCAACATTTCACCCGTGCTTGGTGTACATCGTTTTGCGTTGCAGACATTTTCAGACGGAAAGAGTTGCGTCCCTTACACTGTTTAAGTCGACTCATTTGCTACAGGATTCAATATAGACTTTCCACTTCATATCAGCTGAGAAGGTGCAACAAGTCACTCTCCTAGAGGTCAGCATCAGCTATGCTGAAGGAAGGCACAGAAGGTTTTCTCAGATAATTAACAGAGAGCAGTTTAATTTTGAAGGTGTTAAAATTAACAAGCCATTGTTTGTCCCAGTTAACAACAGTCTAAAGGTCGATTTGAACATCAGCCACCATTCTTACTTGAGTTGCTTTTTATTACACTTAACACTCTTGCTCTATACACTCTTCATTATTACTATTATTTTCTTACTAGTTTTATTCCATCTTATTATTGTTGCTTTTTATCCCAATAATCTGGCTATATACACTCTTCATAATTACCATTATTTTATTACTAGTTTTATCCCATCTTTTTAGTGTTGCTTTTCATTCCAATAATCTGACTCTATACACTCTTCATTATTAACATTATTTTATTTCTAGTTTGATTTCATCTTATTATTTTTGCTTTTTATCCCAACACTCTTCATTATTACTATTATTCTATTACTAGTTTTATTCCATCTTATTATGGTTGCTTTTTATCCCAACACTCTGGCTCTATATACACTTCATTATTAACATTATTTAATTACTAGTTTTATTCCATCTTATTATTGTTGCTTTTTATCCCATCCATTCGGCTCTATACACTCTTTATTATAAACATTATTTTATTATTGTTACTTTTTATGCCAGGGCTGATTTATAAAGTTGAGAATGTCAATTGCAAATAATGTGAAATAAATCAATTATCTTTCAACAAGGCTTGAACTTGCATCCCAGCCATGAAATATTTAAAAAAAAAAAAAAAATACTGCATTAACATCTCTACTCTAAATATTCTGATCTTATTGGATGTCATCTACAGTGTGACAGGATTTTGTAGGTGAAAAAATTTGAAAACATTTTAATGTCCCTGTGAGCCCTCACTTAACAGCCAACCTCCTGCATGTAAAAAATATTATCATCTCTGTAATTTTATTAAAAACTCATACTTCTTTTCTGATATTGAGCTTTTCCTCACATTCATTTTTTTAAGAGACATTTTTAGATACCATCAAGTCACAAACTTTTTGGCATAAGAGGAGTACGAAAGGCTTCTGCCGATAAAAAAGAAAAGCTTTTGCCGAAAAAAAAAAAGAATCCACAAGCCTAGCAAGATGGCCACCACAAAGATCATCATGTTTGAAAGACATTCCAGTAAATGTAAAAGTGTATGTATACATCAGCTGTAAGTTTATAAGCAAGACAAAAAACAGAGAGACTACAATATATAACTGGTACTGTAATGATCAAGGTAAAAAAAAAATTTCTCAAAATATTATATATCTGTAAAAGATCTGTCTATATTTCTGAGATGAGGTATTGTAATTATTTACATTGTTCGGACTGTTGACCTCATCTTTATCGCCATATTCACGATGTTTCGACTGTTGTATGCTCCGGCCTTCTTCAATATCTGTCTATATTTCTGAGATGAGGTATGGAAATTAATTACATTGTTCAGATTGTTGTCGTCATCTTCACAATGTTTTGGCAGTCGCAAACTTTGGCCTTCTGCAGGACCTGGGTATATTTTTGAGATGAGGTATTGTAGTTATTTACACTATTTACATATTGACAGATCCTGAAGAAAGCTGGAGTGTACAATGGCCGAAACATCATGAATATGACAACAAAGATGAGGACAACTGTCCAAACAATGTAAATAATTACAATATTCATCTCAGAAATATAGACAGATCGTGAAGAAGGTCAGAACATAAAACAGCCAAAATGTTGTGAATATCATCACAACAAAGATGAGGACAACAGTCCAAACAATGTAAGTAGTGTAAATAATTACAACACTTCATTTCAGACATATAGACAGATTCTGAAGAAGGTTGGAAGATACAATGGCCAAAATGTTGTGAATATGACAATAAAGATGAGGACAACAGTACGAAAAATGTACCATCTGAGCATTGCCTTTTCTGCGTAAATGCCATTCTCTCTAAATAACTCATAGTTTTTGTTACAAATCACAGAGAAGAGACAAGTGAAGGCTCGAGCCAGTTGAGGATTGGGGAGATTATGGTAGACTGTAGGTTGATTAGTCTTCGGACAAGAGAACATAGGTGGAGGAAGCCGAGGTGGCCCCCACCTTACTGAGCAATAGGTGGCAAGGAATGACTGACCAATGTCTAAAGTTTCCTTTGTTTCTTTGGCATTTCATGTTTCTAAGAAGAAAGAAAAGAAGTTGTCATGGCGATTAGAAATTCACACACCATTTGAAGTCTTGAATAATTCATGAAACGTTTATCACAGATAAATTCATACAACAATACAACTTTGGATGTGCTAATGATATATAATATAAGCGTTCTCATTATATGAGTGTCTTTGCTAAGATATAGCAAAAATGGATACATACATGCATGCAAGCATATATATATATATATATATATATATACACACACACACACACACAGATATATGTAGTTTTATATATATATATATATATATATATATACACACACACACACACACAGATATATATGTACTTATGTATGGTTCTATATATGATGTACATATATGTTTTTATATATATATATATATATGTTTCTACAGATGTTATGTTTTATATATATATATATATATATATACCTGTATGTGTGTGTTTAAGTAATGTATATGTCTTAGCCAAGAGGTGTAAGCCATCCTTTGAATTGTATAATTTTATATATAAGTAAACTATGTACATATGTTGAAATGCACACACACAAACATATATATCAAAAGATGTATGCATGCATATCTATATTTACATATATGTCTACATTTACAGATGGGTGATGGTAAGTAAATGGATATGTACTATAGTGAGAGCTCTATGCTATATTTTGAATTGCATAATTTTATATGTACATAATTATCAACAGTGGCACATACATACATACATACATATATATATAGGGAAAATATGAATGCATAAAGAAACACTCACATATGTGTGTATGTTTCTACATACATTCATATTTTACCTATATATGTATATAAGGGGCATTTAAATATGGTGTAATATTTAGCAAGCATGTCTCATTAGATCAATTATGACTAAGTAGTGAGTTCCATCTTCACTTGATGCTCCATACTTTTGGCCTTGTGCCACATCTAAGCTATACTTAAAAATCTCTCTCTCTCTCTATATATATATATATATATATATATATATATATTACAATGAATCATTCATACAAAAAATAGATTAGAAAAATTAATGATATAAAATGGCGAAATCCTTTCACAAACAAAACTTTAAAGGTACATTAACTTACGAATCACTCGATGAATGTTATGATCCTTGTTTTTAAAATTATAAACTGTATAAGGTGTTTCTTTAATATGCTAGTACTTTCAACTGCACATTCAGTCATCCTCAGGCATGGAAATTATTTTGTTATTGGTAAAATTCTGAAGCATCCAAGAAAAAGTTAAATGTGAATCGAAATATGTTTTTTTTAAAATGTGTTATTGTTAACGGATACAAACTTTTTGGATTCATGTCTTGATTATGCTATGTTCAGATTTGGGAGTTTTACTGTATATGCTTATGTATGTACATTTTACCTCTGAATATATATTCTTGCATGTATATATGAGAAAGTGGTTGTTTTTGTCTCTCTCTCTCTATTTATATATATATATATATATATATATATATATATATATATATATATATATAAACATATGTGTGTGTGTGTGTGTGTGTGTGTGTGTGTGTGTAAGTATATACAGGCAAGAGAGTATATGATGAACTCTCAAAGTATTTCTTAACTGAGAGGTAGATGTATTTTCAATTGCATGATATTACATATACACACAAACATGAGCAGGGATTACAGACTACATTACATTAAAACAGTGATTACATTAAAACAGTGATTCCCTTATGATCACCGAAGTTAAGCAACATTAAGCCTGGCAGGTACCTTGATGGGTGACCGCTTGGGAATATCAGGTGCTGCAAGTTTGGATGTGTGGGTGATGTAATAAATAATGCTTCAGAATTGTTAATTGGAGAGCTGAGTTCCAATTCCAGTCGGGTTCATTATATTCACTTGCATCTTCATGGCTTTGCTGCCTTGCATGGGGTGAAAATGATAAAAAAAAAAAAAGAAGCATGCAAATGTATTCTGGTATACTTGCATATCTTTTAGTGTACCAGCTGGTGCGTCTACTTACGTTTATATCTTGGTCAGCCTATGAACTTTACCACCAACTCTCATGTATATTCAGATACATATATGAATAGTTTTATATTTTAATAGATAGTTATGTAATTTATTATCTGTTTATGCGAATGTCAGACACTGATCTAAATATGGCAGCCAAATTTTCTTTTTTTTTTTTCTTACTGACTTTTTAATCCATTCTATTAACCTGTGCCACCATAAATGCCAGTCAGATGTAAAGAAGTCATACCCATGGACCCTGTTATACCTTCCTCCATAATACTTCATTTCCTGGAAAATATATATATATATATATATATATATATATATGTGTGTGTGTTTCATTGAATTTTATATATATATATATATATATATATATATATATATATATTTTTAAATTTTATATACATTCAAACATGTTTCAATGAATAATATATATATGTCTGATTGAATAAATTATAGATATTATGTCTGCTAATTTTTAACAACATCCGTTCATATTCACGAATAACCTTCCGTCTATTGATGTTAAAGGTTGAGAGAAATGTGCTATATCTGTTTAAATTTCTTTAATTTTCATTTCCAAAGTACTTTCCAAGATGATCATGGAAGAAGATCGAAAGTACTTGGGAAATTTAAATAAAACAAATTTAAACAGCTATAGCAGATTTCTCTTATTCTTTAACATCAATTCATGGAAGGTTATTCGTGAGCATGAATGGATTTTGTTAAAAATTAGCACACATAATGTCTATAATTTATTCAATCAGACATGCCTAAAAGAGAATTTGCTGCCTAAATACACAAATATATTTTATCCAGTGACCTGTAGGGGGATCGTGTGTACCTGCAGTTGCAGTAGAACTGGGGTTTCTTGAGCAAGATAGCCTGATGGGGCCCAATCCTCTCCAGGTCATATATATATATATATATAAGGCAGGATGTGTGTGTGTGTGTGTGTGTTTGCACGGCCGCAATTTTCGACGGATTTGTACTAAAATTTATATGCACATGCTCCAAGTTAGTGGGAAGGCCAAGACTGACTTTGCATTTCCCAACTCCCATCAATAGAGAAAATAATTGATTTTTTTCATGCTTCTACAGCAATTTTCATGTAGTTTGTGGCCATTTTGTACTGGCCAGAGTGAGAGCCTATAGCTGGCTGCCACGAATAGGCAGGAAGATTCTATTGGCCAGCATGAGAGCCAACAGCTGACTGACACGAATGTTAACTAGCATGTAAAAAAAAATCGATAGTTGCATTCGTCACAAGTGGGAAAAATTTAAATCTTCATGGCACTTTACTCCAATTGGCTCATTCGCTTGCTTAAACTCAACGTTGATTCTGATTCCACAGAACTGGGTTGGGTGTGAAAAAAGTATTTGTTGTTAACATTTTTTTTCATTCGGTTTTTTCCAGTTACGAGTTCTTTTTTTTAAATCTGATCGTTTTGTGTTCATTTTGTTTAGTTCTTTTTTTTTTATAACAGATTTAATGTTTAGTATAGAGCTTAGAAAAAATTCGCAGTGTGAGATAGGCAAGAAGTAAGGCATGTAGCAACATCAGCACGGCAAAGGGCACTCCTTTAAAGGGAAGGGAGGGCAAAAATATTTTAAGCCAAGTGATAGCAATTGCTGTATGAGTCGTACGATTTTTGAATGAAGCACGGGCAACGCCGAGCCATGCTGCTAGTTTATGTATGTATGTATATTTATGCAGCATATTTTCATTCAAATATGATTCATTCAATAATATAGACATATTATTCTAGTTATATTAGTCTATTTTTATACTGATCCTTTCCAGTTTTCTAATCAGTTTGTTGATGCCCAGATGAAATTTATCAAGGAAGGTGTTGTTTTTGTTAACCCAAGTACTTTCGATCTTTTCCAAGATCATCCTCAGGGGTAAATTACAAAGATAAACTTATTGTAACTGTGATAAAATCTGCATTCCGTTGCGAGAAATATTTTTAAAACATGAGAAAAAGCGCTCCGTAGTTGAAAATTTTAACTTTGTCCATTGCAGGTATGAAATTTTTGGCAAAAAAAAAAGCATTTCATTATAAGGAGGCTGACTGGAAAGGGACAGAAATGTAAAATGTCATTAAATGTCATCTGCATTTTAACATGTTGTTAACTGAAAATTGCCCCACTGAGGTTTTTTCTTTGGTCAAAGGGCAGCATGAACATTTTCATCCCTTTTCAGAAAGGTGAATAGCAAAGGAACCAGTCTATAATCGCCATGATTTCCAGCCAACTTTAATCTGCAAAAATTTAAATGTAATATCAATTGCTATGTATTGTTTTCTCTTTTCGCTGATTATTAATGTTTCTGCTCCTAATTCTTCCACACTCTGTAACCCCTTGTGTTTTAGTGACTTTTTTGCCTTGCATGGGGTGATACCGATTAAAAAAGAAAAAAGCAAAAACAAAAAAAACATATATAAAAACCCTTTGAGTTATTCAACTAGAAAGAAAACAGGTTAAAATCATTTTGTATCAACCCCACTTTTTTTTTCTAACTGAGCAATGGTGAGAGGAAAAAAGTCATTCACGTCTTCAGTAATGGTACAAACATTCATACTCTGGCTTCCATCTTCAAAATCAATTCAAGAACCGTCAAGTGAACAGTAGAGAGGAAAACTGGATCAAGAGGTCACAACAGCAAGAGGGATCATCATTTCAACTTAGAGCTAAATACATTCTTATTGCTCAGAGTAGAGTCCAATAATCTTATAAAAACCCTGGAGAATTCCAGTAATATATCTTTAATCATTTCTAAGATATAATGGTTGAAATCTTAATCTAACAATTAGACAATTTTACTGTTACATCTGGTATATATCATGGTGAGTTTCTAACATTCATCATCTTAACCATAAATAATTCTAAAATTAATTACTTGTTTTCCTTGATTAAATGAACATAGCATTTCATGTTATAAACCCATTCATTTACAAGGTTTATCTAAGTATGGCACAAGGCTATAGAACTAAAAGTGTCAAATGGATTGTGTTTTGGCCAGAAAGACAGAACTATATCAGTATTAGTTTTTTATAGTAATGTTTTTTGTTTATCTTACAATGATATTCACTCTGTAAAAAGCCCAAGATCCACTCAAGGTGGAGGATTACAGAGTAAGAGGCACTGTCCTAACCAAGGTAATAATGCCACCAAGACACAAGGGTGCCACTGGAAGTGAAATAGAAGGAAAAGGCTTTAGAAGGAATCAGAAACAGCTATGACAAACTTTGGAACATACATAATGTACATACAAAAACCTTACATATATTATCTTATTATTAATCTTAAAAATAATAATAATGAAATTAATCCATTACTGTATGAATTTTACTTATAATTTACATCTTTTGTCTAATCTAGTTTGCTGGTTGATGGTAATCTCAGGGCTGGGGTTCTTAAATTTTAGGTACCCCCCCTCTAAAAAAAAAAAAAAAAAAAAAAAAGTGGATGCCACACAGTAATGGTTTAAATAGCTTAGTATGAGCTAATTAAGCCAAAGAAGGCATGAAACTTATTAATTATTAAATCCAGAAGGTGGCCCCAAACTTTTGGCCTAATATATATATATATATATATATATATATATATATATATATATATATATATATGATTTAACAATATATAATTTTGTATAATTTTATATACCAGCAGTATTTAGAAAAACATGGCAAATTGGAAAGATTTTTTTGTGACGTGTTTCATCCGTAAGGATTTCATTGGAATGAGCTTTGATGACGTTGCCACATTGACAGATGAGCATGAAATGAAAGATGTAGGTAGTTTCAAAAGTTTTTGAAAGAATTTTTTTTTTGTTTTCTCAATATAGCTGAAATCATTTGTATTTATTTTTCTTTATCTCACCACCACCTTTGTTTCTGATTATCCCACATTGTGACAATATAAAATCTACCAAAAATGGTGAAATATTGTAAGGGCCTGGATGCAAATTTATTGTGGCTCAACTAGCAATCAAAGCACTTTCCATTTTCGTCCCAGTGGATTTTCTTTTTTAATCAAAGTAGCATTCTCTATGTCAAAACTGTGGTCCGTTTTGTAATGATGAACAACCAAAGCGTTTTGTGTGTTGTTATTTAAAATGTCTCTTTTGACTATATGAACACAAAAGGCACATTTTCAAAAGTTAAATTGAAATGGAGAGACATGTAGCCATGATATATCCTGCATCTAATTGAAGTTGAAGAATTCTTTATACGAAAAAGTGGCTAAAATTACTGTTTAAAACGCAATCTGACTCCAGTTGCATTTTCACTTTCTTTTTTGTATATTTTTACCTGAGTGTCTTATATAAAAAAAACTTTACTTTCTTATATTTCTTCATTTGTTGAACAGACATCCCTACCGTACCTTAACCTCATTTCAAAAGTCACTCATATTTTGATACAATAGTTGTCAGTGAAATGAATACCCTACCACCCCTTGTTAAAATGTTTGAATTTCCCTGTATCCTTAACAACTAATATTAAGAATGTATGTGTTTATAAAACTCAGCAAATTTCAAAATAAGTTATTCCAAAATTTGCTTGAAAATGAAACAATACTAGGGATTTTAATTTAATTCTATAATTAAATTTGAAGTTTTTAGTTTGTTTTTGAAACATAGTAATTCTTGTGTAGCGATGGAACCATATTTTTAAATTAGTAAATTTATATTTATGCTCTGCAGAATTGCATTGAGCACTGTTTTTTAAAACTAAAACTAATAAGAACACTGGATTATAAATCTTACTGTTCTTTCTCTTTATTTATTT